GAATCCACCAGATGCTCTGCCGGGGAAGGAGGGACAATATCCTCCTGTACCAGTCAGATCTGATTTGACGGTACACTCACACAAAAATAATAAAATTTAAAAAAAAAAAAAGACTTGTGTCTTTAAGTCAAATTTATACATAAAACTGAACATGGTCTGAATCCTTAACAGTAGTGATTTTCAAATGGAGTTTTTAAGATAGAAACTATGAGCAATTCTAACCAACTTAACAACCACCACCAATTTAAATTTCCCTTTTTTCTTATGGGAAGCCAAATTTCATACCAAATAGTATATAAAAAACCATATGCTTGTACAGGAATTGAAGGAATTAAAATTTATATGTTAGGATTTCTCTTGTGACAGATCACAGAAAATGAGCTGTTCCCTGCAGACAAGAGACAGCTAGGGCCCCCCTACAGAGAGTGTTAATACGTGCAAAAATACTTCCTTCCTGAGCTAAAGCATTAGGTTGACAATAGAGAAAAATTCAGCTTCATTTACAAAGGAATTCTTTTTATGATTTGCTTCCCCTTTACTCTCTCTGTTTTATCTCAATCCTAGGTGTCTGTTTCATTATTAATAATTATAAATATACCCTTGTCTGCAACATTTTCTAACATATATATGGTCAAAGATTAGGAAAACTCTAATTTTTAGAGACGAGGAGGGGACTAAAGCAGATGAAATTTCATGGCTGGTAAGGACATGGTCTTAGATCTACAAATGACTGCTCCTGTTCTGTGGAATAGGCTGGTAGCTGGTAACTTTGGCAGCAGGCAGACTTGTTTTGATGCTCATGCCATAATAAAGGCAAGTCATGGTCACTCAAACCCCCAGAGTAGAGACAAATGATTTACTCAAAGTGAAGAAAGGGACAAAGTGAGATAGGAGAAGCGAAGGAAAATGGGGGTGAAGGAAGAGAAAGGTACCAGGTTTCTGGTTCTGGCAACTAACCAGATGGAGTTTATCATTAATTCCACAATAAATGCACTGCAGAAAAAAAAAAAAACAGACTGGAGATAAAGATCACTAAGGGCCTTTTGGACAAATCTAAGCAGCTTTATCACACATCTGGGAAGAAATGTTGAGTAAGCATTTAAAGCGCTATTAGAAATTCAGGAGGAAGATCCACACAACTGAGAAATGTGGAGCAAGTGAGCCAAGAGGACTAAGAAGGTAGGGGAGCAGAAAACAAGGCTTGCATGTGCTAAATACCAGCACCCACTAAAGTCCACTGCTGTCAAGTGGATTCTAACCAACAGCAATCCCACAGGACAGAGCAAGACTGCCCTGTTGGGATTCCAAGGTTCTCAAGCTTCACCAAAGGAAACGGATTCACCTCCCACTGGGGGAAGCAAATCAGCACACATATATATTTCAGCAAGTTTTTAATGTTTAAAAGGGGGTTCCTTCTCTAAAGAAATCAAACAAGCACCACAACAAGATAAAGGTAAATAATCCAATAGAAAAATGAGCACAGGATATGAACAGGCACTTCACCGAAGAAGACATTCAGGTGGCTAACAAGTACATGAAGAAATGTTCAAAATCCCTAGCTCTAAGAGAGATGCAAATCAAAACAACTATGAGATATCCTCTCACCCCAGTCAGAATAGCAAAATTTAACAGAACAGCAAGCAACAAATGCTGGCGAGGTTGTGGAGAAACTAGAACCCTTATTCACT